TGTGGGCTTTAGTGGTTTTTCTTATTGCATTGTGTAATAAACATTAATAACAGCAAACATCTACAATAGCAATAACAACAATTTCTTCATATGCGCAATTCTTTAAAGTTAAGCATTTGTACATTTGTCGAGAACCTGTTGCTCTATGCTATTGCTAATGAGGATATTCAACCAACATCTAAACAATACAATAAAGTATGTAAGTAAATATTTGTATATATATATATATATGTATAAAGGTTTGTATGTATTGTTTTTTTTTTTTTATAGATGAGGTAGCAAAACATAATGTTTTGTTTTCTCTAAAGATTTTTATTTATATATATATATTTTTTTGCCATTTTATTATTCCTGCAACACATTAGCCAACTTTGCACAAGATTCTCAGATTTCCAAGGTACAAAAGCAAAAACAAAAAAAAAAAAAAAAAATATATATATATATATATATATACATATAGTAAATTTTTGCTGGGCAGTAGAAGAACAGCAAGCAAAAAAGGGCTACACAACAAGTGTCTACATACATATGTATATGGCTTACATAGAAACATGTGTAATAATCACTGTAGACAAATGCTTTTCAAAGAAAATTACGATCATTATAGAAAAGTAGAAGAAAAAGAAGAAAAAAAAAAAGATTACTTGAGAAATTGTTTGATTAGAAAATTTTAAATGAAAAAAAAAAAAAAAAAACAAAACATTATAAAAAAAAAAAAACCAATTATTTGCCTTTTTGTTGCCCCTACACGTCTCACGACTAAAAACTTTCCTCAATATACAAGAACTGCAAATGCATTATGCTCGCAAGAGTCATTATAGAGTAATTTCAATAAAAAGAAAAATTCCAAACGCACACCTGAGCATCAAGTGAAACGAATATTAAGGATATTACAATAATAATAATAATAATAATAATAATAATAATAATAATAACAGCAAAAAAATAAAAAAAAAATAAAAGAATACGAAACGCATTAAAAAAATAATTCACACATGTCTGCTTCAACAAACACAACAAATGTGTGAAAAATTAATGGAAGAGAGAAAAAAATAAATAAAATAACAAAAAAAATAAAATAAAATAAAGTACAAATCGTATAAACAGAACGGCTCACAAATTCGTGAGGTCACCAGCAATACGTACATACATACATACATACATACACACACATGTGTTTATAAGACTGTACATAAGCTTGAGTGTGTGCATTGCATACGTTTTATGGTACAATTCGGTTATTAATGGATTGGTTGGCTGTGCATATATATATATATGGTCAGGGATCAAATAACACTTGTATGTAAACATGGATTTCCTCGATATATAAATACATCTACACATCAACACATATACACATATACATATGTGCATGATTTTTTTTCTTTTTTTCTAAATCTCTCCCTTTCTTCTTCTTCTTTGCATCTCGTGCATGAGTCTTTCGCGAAGTTTGGTATGGTTGATTGATTTGAATGGATGGACAGACAAGTTGACTGACTGTGATCTACTTATGTATACGCGCGTATTATTATTATTGCTTTACTTTTCCATCATTTAATACCATATTTTATGGGTAAAAAAATATCTTATTCATATTGTGGTTTACCACATGTCTTCACGCTCAAATACACATATACATCATATATGTATATATATTGGCATCGATCGTACACATATGCGTAATTCTTTGCACACACTTGCAACAATATTAAAACTCTATGCCACTTGGTATGGTGTTGCGTATGTGATTTCCTTGTTAATTCAACTTTACCACTGTACCGCTGTCGCTAGCACGGAGGTATTCTAGATTTTTTGCAGCATAAGTAACACTTGGCGAAAAAATGATTATCGAATGCCTTATCAAATATATAGATCAGTATGGGATTCTCATTTCCTTTCTCTGAATTTCTGTCCATCTGTCCATTCATTCGCATTATCTGCTAGTGCTGTTCCCAGTTTTATGCTTACTGTCTAGAGTTAGCTGTTTTACGCATAAAACATGTTAAGGATTACAATCTGTCCGCAGCAATCGCTGTGCTAGATTAAAGGATGAAATCACCCTTGAAATATGATCGGAAGCGCCATAATAGTTTCATTAGTATTGCAAGCTTGGATTTGATTTGTCTTAACAGTCAGTTAATTCCATGTAATTAGTGGAGCAATCAATTGGAGAAATCTATCCTATTTATTAAGGATCCTGTTTATTAAGGTCCCAATCAAAGACCTCTTCGCGTATATTATGTTACTTATCCTCTATTTTATGTTTGATATATATACATATATACATATATACACACATATATATGCCCTCTTCGTACAGAGGCATAATGTTTTTGCAATGATTTTCTATTTTTCATGGAATGAAAAATTTCTTTAATTACGAAATGGTTCTTTCTAGAAGGCAACAACAAAAACAAAGGTCAATTATCCTAACGATTATAAGATTCGACTTAAACTAAATTATATTTTTTATTCGTTTTTAGGTTTTCCTTTTCACTTGCATCTCTCGCATATAATAACATGCGTGCAAAACTGAATTTACCTTGAATTATTTTCATATGATGATTGCTTTCAAGTATAGTCATTTTATTCAGCTCTGGTGCTTGTCTCTTACCTCCGATTTTTAACTTCATTTTTCGTCTTCGTTTGCATGACAGTTTATTAGTATCAATTGCTCATAAATTGCTGTATTTTATAACAACCAACAATTACTAGTTTTGTCTTTTTTTTTTTTTTTTTTTTTTTTTTTTTTTTTTTTTT